ATCACAATCAATGTAGTTTCTATGGAAGATTTTTGTGATTCAGGTTCATCATGCAGCCCAGTTTCCAAGCACTTTTTAAAGAAAATAAAGCAAAATGTGAGTCTTGACACTTGTAGTGATCCTTACATTGACTATAATGGCAACAGAATTCAGGTATTAGGAGAGTATAATGAAATAATTGAATGCAATGGCACAAAGAAGAAAATTAAACTCGTAGTTACTAATAACAACAATTCCCCATTATTTGGTACACATTTTTTGCGAGAATTTGGGTTTGAGCTCGTACAAATAAATTCAATTAGCGACTCCAATCAATCTTCCATAATTATCGAAGAAATTAAGAATGAATTCTACGAAGTTTTTAACAATGGTCTAGGCGCTTATAAGTTGGGAAAAATTTTTCTTCTTCTTTTCTTATAGATAATAACTACAAGTCAATTTTTTTCACGCCAAAGGAAAGCTAAAATTGAAAAAAGTTTGAGAGAATTAGTTAAAAATGATGTATTAAAGCCAATTGACCATACAGAATGGTGCACTCCTCTCGTTCCTATTATAAAACCGAATGGGGATCTTAGAATTTGTGGTGCCTACAAAGGTACAATAAATTAATACCTCTCCGATTTTAAGTACCCGCTGCCTCTGATTGACGAAATGTTTGCGTCACTTCAAGGCGGTAACCTGTTTTCAAAGCTAGACCTATCTAACGCCTACAAACAATTGATTCTCGATGAAAACTCACAGCAATTATGTACGTGGTCAACTCACATTGGCACATTCAAGAAGAAACGTTTGCCTTTTGGGGTAAAACCTGCTGCTGCCATATTTCAAAAGACGATGGAAAATTTATTAAGTTATATACCTTTTGTGGTCGTATAACTGTATCAGGCAGAGATATGCAACAGCACATAAACAACTTAAGAGCAGTGATTTGCAAATTAAAGACGGCAGGTCCCAAGCTGAACTTATCAAAATGTGAATTTTTCAAGTCTAGTAATGACAAGGACGGACATCTAGGTGTGGATACGACAATCGACCGTATTCAGAACTTCCTTTGGTTCCCGCGAATACGAAATTTTGTAAATGCCTACATCAAATCTTGCGTCGATTGTGCCTGCAACAAAATCCCGACCGGAAAGAAAGGAGTATATAGCTACGGCGACATGGAGCCGATCCCATTTGAAACGATCCATTTAGATCTCCTTGGTCTTTTTCCGAAAAGTTCACCTAGAAATGAGCACATAATGGTTTGGTTGGTTCTTTCACCAAATTTACTATAATTAGCGCTACCAAGAGTACTGCGACCAAACACGTGCTAGCAGTCCTTGACGAAGTAATCAGCTACATTGGAGTCCCTCAACGCTTTGTAACGGATCGTGGAACATCGTTCACATCCAAAGAGTTTACTAAATACTGTAAAGATTACGATATTAATCGTATCCAAAACACATTTCGCACACCACGAGCGAATGGTAACGCTGAACGAACTAACAGAACATTGTTAAGCATGCTCCGAACGACGACGCAATCAGAGAAGAATTGGGAAGACAAACTACGTAATTTCCAATGAGTTATCAACACAACGCGCAAGCAAATGATAGCTCGAACCCCATATGAGTTGGTGTATTCATTCAAGCCACGCGATATACTTAAAAACAAACTAACAACGATTCTACATGACTGTAACTCACAAGACGTTGATATCAATGATTTTAGACACGCGGCAGCAGATCGAGTTACACGACATGGTCTTGGCCGAGAACGAACCAGCCATCACGTTCGAATCACGAAAGTTGGAGCAACGTTACAAAGGCCCCTTCATTATAAGCAAAGTCCTTGATCGAGATCGATACGTCATAATTTATCTTCCAGATTCAGGCAAACAACGTCATTACACATCTATATACGCTTCAGATAAGCTTCGACCGTGGTGTAATCTACCAGCTCTCGACGAACAAATTAACGAGGGTGCCGAAAGCACCGATGAAGATGACAATTAATAGCGAGGACGGCTGTATAGTCAGGAGTGGCCGATTGTAAACATATGGCAACTCTAGACAAGCGGTTAACATTTTCCGAGCGTTCAACATTTTTGAGTCAGTCAACGTTTGTAAGACAACGAGTACAGTATACATATACAGTAATAAACCTTTTTTAGTACTCCTCGGGGGTAAAATCTGATCAGAGTTGATAACGAGAAGGAGCATGAATTTTGCTGATTCAGAGTTGTAAACAAAATTACTGTGGCATGAAAGGGGGCAACAACCGGACTTTGGCAGACTGGCACAGGCAATTTTGTAAACAAACAATTTTCTTATCATTTAAATAGATAATTGCCATTTATTTTCTAATATTCAGCTTGTAGCCAGAGGGAGTGGCATGTGTGGCTCATTAAAATCTACTCATCATGTTGGAGCAGCTCCGGGTAATGGACTATTGAATGTGCTAGCTCCAAGCAAATGCATGTCCTGAATTTATACGGTAGCAATTCATAGAAATAACTATTGTATGTGTGTATGATTTATATTTGTGACATTCTATACTTTGATGTTAAGTGTTTTTGAGGAGCTCAGGATAATGGTCGCTCAAACTTGGGAGTGCTTAATGAAATATCTGGGCGGATGCACTGGCAGGCATTGGAGTCTCTATAACTCTACAAACCTCGTTTTTTTTTTAATAAAAAGCTAAGTATATTCGGAAAGTTAGGATTTTACTTGATAAATTTACAAAATAAAACAAAATTCACGTTTTTCATAAAAATATAATCTTACAATGGATATTTTTTTAATTTTAAACCTACATTTTAGAAAACACCATTCAGTGCTATCATTACGATTTGAGTGTTCCAGTTTATGAATAACAAGCGTTAATTATGTACATACTTAACTATTGATCTCTTAATTAAGCATTGATATTATACTTAACCTACATTATGTTCATAAATAACACATAATTATACATACATATTTTAAAAACGATGCACACAACCCAAAAGCTCTCCTCCGAGACCAAGTGGTGAAAAACTGCAAAAAGGTTTATTGCTGTATATACCAGGGTTGTTGCGAATATTCGCATTCGCAACCGCGGAGCTTCCGCATTAATTTTAACATTCGCATTCGCTTTCGCATTCGCAATAATCAATGCGGAGCTTTTGCGAATGCGAATGTTGTGCAAGTGCACCGATAAAACGTATATATGGCAAACAAAATGAAAAATTGTGGCCAATATTCACCCTCATTGCAAGAGTCGTAACGAATGTAAGTCGAATCGTATCGAAAATTTCAGGTCATTGCCTAAAATTTCCACTCGACTAGTGTATTAAAACGGAAAAACTTGGCAGCACTGCGAAGTTTTCGACGATTTTCGTCGTTTACCTATTTCAGCACGACAGTAGCCAATGCCAATGTTGTCGGGTCGTACAATTTAGCCTAATTTACGTCTTGCGCAATGAGGCTGAGTTTTTGTCTGTGGTCGTGGGAGTATTTGTGTAACAAAACTGGTCAAATGACATATTTATCAACTTTGATAAAAATATCCTTAAGCATATTATTTCCTAAGCTATACAACCGAGCTATCAATGGGCAGTCGTACGTCAAAGAGAACATAGTCATTTTAGCAATAATTTCTTTGTTTTTCTGTTTTGCTATTTAAAGTTAAAGACTTACTCTTTCAATAGGGATTTCCAGCAGAAATGGTCAACGTCTGGATACAAAGAGAATCGATGCTCAAATAATTATATAGGTCTGACCTTAAATTAAGTAAGAATTACGTCGCTATCTGAGACACTCATCAACCGCGATTCTAATAATTCAAATGCTTACACATGCAAAATCGGGGTGCTTTTTTAAAAAAATAATCCGATTCGGCTGGCAGCGACGACTTTGAAAACAGAATTTTGTTCAAAATTTTCATTCCTGGAAAATAATAATTTATTTTCCATATCCATCCATTTAGCTGACAATAAGCACAAATTTTTCAAACCGGTCACAGAAGAAAGTATTAAAAAAAAATGAATTACAAAAACTAAAATTAAAAAACGCTGATGACGTTACAGGTTCTGAAACAGCCAAAGAAATGAGAATGAAGAGTTCTTTTTAAAAAGCTATAGAAAAACCTGGCACATCTGGTTTGGCATGTAAGCGATGTTTAAACAACGATCTCACCATTATGCTAGATTCTTCAAGTGAAGATGAAAGTTGGGAGGATACATCCGATATTTTCAGCCCCGATGCAATTCTCATTACATTTTATTAAATATGAAATTCATTACTTTTTATTAAATATTTAAATTCAAGTACTATTTAAATAAAATAAACATTATTAAAAATTCCTAACTTTTCCATTTTTTATTTGCCTAAACAACTTAGTTTACTTACCTTATTGTTTCTTAAAAATACTTGACATTCGTATTCGCATCCGCATCAGCGGATGTTTGCTGTTAGACAATTCCACATTTGCAACATCCCTAGTATATACTGTGACAACAAGCAACGAGGCTAACGCGACGATTCGGCCACGCGACTTTTGCGAATAATAACACTGGTTTAGAGCAAAAATGTTCTATGGATGCCACTATCCAATTAACGTGTAGAATTCCTCGGTGATTCCGAAAATCGAGATCATTTTTTTTCTATGGATAACTTTTCGAGATATATGCAATTTACCGTTACTCAGCTTTAAAAAATAGTGGTTTCACTTAATCACGTAGGTATATCTTACGAACCAATTGAATAATCGTAATACAAGATACGGGAAATGAAAGCAAGTTAAAGTCTCCATAAACTGTATATATCACTTTTAATTAATTAATCATTTCTGACACCTCTTGTTTTCGATGCAAACACTCTACCTACTCGTACGTGGCGTATGAGTTACACTCTTTTCTGCTGATATTTCATACAAAAAATCCTTGCGCATTTTCATTTGACCAATCACTATTTTGTTATTTATATACCGATTTTCTTCATTGGTAGCTTAGTTTTTTCTAAATGAACAGGCTTTAACACCAGTGGAAATTATTTACGCACAAACTGTAATATTTTGGCTTTTTTTTCCCTGTTAAAGTTTGAATTTTTTGCATTTTTCCATAAAAAAAAACAAAAAATCTGGAAAGATTAATTAAGTTCTCAGAAACTATCAGGGCTATCGAAAAGTAATCTATATACGGTTTATGGAGAATTTTATTATCTATCATTTGCCCTATCTCGTATTACGATTATTTAATTGGTTCGTAAGATATACCTGATTAATTGGAACCACTCTTTTTTTAAGCTGAATAACGGTAAATTGCAAATATCTCGAAAACGAATCCATACAAAAAAAATTAACTCGATTTTCGGAGTCAGCGAGTGATTTAACATACAAATTGGATAGTAGCGTCTGGAGAACAAAATCAAAATTAAAATTTGTGATCCAGTGTAATTACTTGAACTTCATTTACATTCCTTTTATCTAAACTTTATCATTAAATACTAATTGCAACTAAAGAGAAAGAGTGCGTATTTATCTATCCAGGTTTCCTGGCAGTATTGATTGCACATTATTCGCATATATTTTGCATACTTTTTCTTATTTTCTGCATATCATCGCCTGGGTAAGATTGTCGTATGTTAATTTCGGCAGGTTGTGGGAAATCGCGATTGAAGTTTGGAATGCAATTTCTCGAAAACGGGAAGATAGATTTTCTCCAAAGTCTCTGAAAATGTTACTAGTTCACAAAATTCTTAAATTACTTAATTTTTAATGTTGATTGCTAATTAGTTCTGAGTGTACGACGGTTCTCTTTAGTCAAATTTTGTCGTAAGCGCCATTTGTCCACAATTTGGCAGCCAGTTTGTATGAAATACGACAAAGTGTGATCAAAATGTCTACCAAATTAACTACACTTTTTACTCAATATCTCGGAAACTAAAGGAGATATCCAAAAATGGAGAACGCCATTTTTAAGATATCACTAACTAAATTTTTACTAAATTATCGAAAAAGTTGTAGTCAATATCTCGGAAACTAAAGGAGATATCTAAAAACTAATAACACCAATCGAAAGACCTTATTTCAAAATACATATATAACTACTAGAACTAAAAATCGTCAAAATGGCGCTTACGACAATCTTTTACCCAGGCGACGATATACAAATTTTATAGAACTCCAATGTCTAGTCATAATTAATAACATGGATAATAACTTTATATAATGTGAATTTCAGGTAAATATAATACTGCCTAATTACTTCACATTGTTTTTGCGCCATAGACTGATACTTATGACCATTTTGTTACCGACGGTTTTATTACATTCATTTCAATAAATGTAAACAACCATTTTTGTCATTAGACTTACCTGCGAATGGCCTAGAATAAGTGAATTGAAGACATTCTCATTTACAGGCAGATTCTTGGAGCGCATAAATTCTAATATACGCGTGGCCCCGTCGATGTCACCTTGCTGGCAATAACGTGCAATCAGTCGTTGGTATGTTACTCGATTTGGCTCAATGTTTTTTGATTCGATTTCTGCCAAAAAATCTGTTGGTGAGAACGAGTGCTCGTTTTCCAAGTAAACGCGCAGTAATGCATTGTAATGTGAGATGTCCATCGGAACATTCAAAGTAGTAAGAGTTTTCCAGATCTCTTGTACCAGCGCAGTACGTACTTCCGGCATTTCTTCCGGCACCAGGTTACCACAGCAACGTATTACGAGGAGTGATTGTGAACTAGTAGCAGAACGTTGGGAGCGTATCTCTTCCAGGACTTCATCAATATCGCGTCGAGAAATTCGACCGACACGACGTACATCTTGATCTAGGCGTCGCAGCTGTTTGTCCAAATTGAGATCTGACTTAGGTGATGCATTGGCAAAGCCACTGAAAAAGTACAAACATGTTTCACATTATTTTCAGGCTATGTTTTGATCAGGGAGGTGAACTGGATGAAAAATTTGGTCGGTTCGGTTCAGCGGTTCGGACCGTTTTTGCACTTTTGGATTTGTTCGACAAAGCGGATTTTTTGGTATTTGAACTGGGGTTTTGGATCGGTTCAACGGTTTGGAAATCAAAAAAATAATACGGAAGTTTAAGTATAAAATGTCAAGTGCAACAACGCGCAAAGCTAAATTTCAAGTGATATTGCCACAAGAAAAAAAAAGTAAATTTATCTATTGAAAATTGGTTGAAACGAACCTTTAAACCTTTATGAAAAGTTGTTCGGTTTTCGGTTCGGATCAAACATTTGTGGAAAAGTTCGGTTCGATTAATGGTTAAGTTAATTAATAGAAAAAAGTAGAGTCCGACCGATTCCAATTTTTTTTCAGGTACCGATGCCGATGCCGATTAATCGGCTTATGGGGAAAGAATCGGCCGATGCCGATTCCATAAAAAATTACATATAAATGTATTAATTCATAAAATCAGTTCATTTCACGAAAAAAAAACAAAAGATAAGAAATAATTGAATTAATTATCTTGTTATGCAACATTACATACACATGTACATATGTACATACATACATATGCATGTGTAAAAATATATGTACATATATTACATTTATGTACATTACATAAAACACTTTTTTTATGGTGCTAAGCAAAAAATATTTAGGAACATAAAATTTCATTTCGTTTAGTACTAAATACACTCTGTTGCACTCAATGCTTAGGAACTTATATGCTAGGTATGTATGTACATACATATAGTGGTCCACAAAATAAAAGAATTGTGATATTTTGACCGATTTTGTCTTTTTTATTTAATGTTTATTATTTTTTTATAAAAGTCTAGCTATAAATTCAGATTTCAAACTTTGTGCAAAAATTAGAAAAATTCCGCTTATTTTCACCAAAACTTCAAACTTTTTAATCAGAATTTTGGTATGCAGTTTTGTAGACCATTTCATTCTAGTATAATGAAGTGCAAGTTTCAAGCTGCTATAAAATAAATTTTTGGCAATTTTTTTGCTGGCAGTGTTCTCCATATAAAAGAAAATCATTTTTGTGAGCTGTCTGCAAATGTTTTTTAATGTTGGCTGTCGCTTCACCTGAAGATTTGAAAAGAAATTCCAAAGAATCGGCGAAAAAAGGCCGATGCCGATGCTCAATTTTGTGCCGATACTAGCCGATGCCGATTAATCGGTCGGACTCTAGAAAAAAGCGGTTTTCCGGCTCAAACCCGGTTCACGTACTAGGTTTTGATACTACATGACCAGGGAACGGATTTTTAGAGCCTAAAAACCTATAAAAAACGAACAAAATAAAATAGCAAAATAGGCAGGAAAAGGCATTAAAAATCGAAAGGCACTAAAAAACGAAGAAATTGCCAAAAAGAGAAATTTACTTTTCTAACAGCACCAGAATGCGCAAACTATATTTCAGAAATCATCAAATGTACTTCAGATTAGTCATTTGTACTTCAGAAGCCGTAAAATGTACTTCAGATTAGTCAAATGCGCTACAGAACCGTTAATTGGTGTGAGGACGAAATATCCCTGAGGAATTTGGCCCACAAATACCCGCAATTTTTTTCCTTGGCAGTGTAAATCAGTTCCTTCCATATCAAGACATTTTTCGAACATATTTTGTAAGATTTCTGCAACCTTGCGGAGTGCTGCCAGCTTTTCTTTTTATCACATCACGATGTAGTGAACAAATGTGGCACGTTCCAGAAAGGTAAACAACGCTTTAGAAACTTTAGATGTACTGAAATTTTCTAATACTTTCACGAAAATCGGCGTTTTTTAACATTTTCGCTATTAACTCTTCTTTATAAATCATATATTTTGCAATTTAACACAATAAAACCACGTTTCTTGTCGAAAAATTGAATATTAAGAAAATTTACTATTTTACGGTTTATTTATCTTCCCATTCTGCCTGTTGTTAGTGTTTAGGGTTGTACAATTTTTGCTCTTAAAATTAAGAAAATTATATCGAGCAAAAATAAAACTACTGAAAAACGCGAATATGTGTTAGATTTCAGACCTTGTGTGGTAGATGCTCAAAAAAGAGGCAGATCTACCACAATGCGGTAGAAGTCCGATCACTGCAGAGCCTATTAAAGATACAACACAGCCGCTCAGCACCGAGCTGTGGTCGCGGTCGAACGACTACAACTGACTGGAGCGATTGCTTTTGCGTCGGCTCGACATCCACCATTCGGAAGTAGAAAGCCATAGATCTGAGCGAGGGGGGGATACGGACTGAACCTCACTCTTCCGAGCTTGAAATCGGCTATGATCCACCACTCGCCACAGACTACCGTGAGCCGCGCACGGACGAAACCCGCTCGTTCGCCGTCAGCAGAGCGACATCAACCGCACCAACAAGAGCGCTACTCACCACCGTCAACAAGAGCCAATCTCCGGCGCCACTCATCGGCGGGACTCGAGCGTTACTCAACGACGTCAACTGGCCGCCTCTCATCAGCGCGACCAAGAGCGCCACTAGCCATCGACGTCAGGGTGCGATCAAAGCACCACTTGTCAACGACATCAGAACACCACTCATCGGCGCGATTAGAGCGCTACTCTCCGGTGTCACCCGAGCGCCACTCATCGACGCGACTAGAGCGCTACTCTCCGACATTGCAAGAGCACCACATACCGGCGTCCCCAGAGCGCAACTCACCTACATTGCAAGAGCGCCACATATCGACGCGGCCAGAGCACCACTCACCGCCGTTAGCAGCGCGCCACCCAGCGGCGTCAGCAGAGCGTTGCCCACCAGTACTAAAGCCACGCCACTACAGCCTAACGGGCTCGTAACGGAAAAAGAAACCGTTACCCAGCCACTGCAAGTAACACTACCGAATATTTACAATTGTTATCTTGTTATATGTTTGATAGTAAGTAAGAGAATAATGTAATAAAGTACGATTCACCAGAGCCCCGAAACTACAAATTTATTGTAACGAACTCTGGACACGGCGAGTATAGCCCAGCACTGTAGAAGAAGCAATGGGGCAACAAAAACGCTTCGTTACATTGGATTTCAGATTAGTCAATTGCACTTCAGAAACCTCAAAATGTACTTAAAATTAGTCAATTGCATGTATTTCAGAAACCTATATATATTAAGGAACCATCATAAAATTATGACTATTTTGGGATTTTTTACTTTTTGATATTTTCTTCCCCAACTTTGACTATCTCTGGTGAAAAAAAATGTACTAAGCTATAACTGTATAGTACATTACATAAAAAAATTGCTCATTTAATAAATATTTAGAAAATGTGCCACTCTTACTATTTCGAATAGAATAAAAAAAGTTATAGCCGCTTT